TCTAAATCTTAAACGATGGGATTCTGTTGTTTGACCACAAAAAAGGGACTTGTAAAACAAGTATAGGCAGTATGTGCCACTCCAGAGGTTATTGAACTCCAGTTCTCATCAGCCCTGGCCAAGTAGCTAATAGTGTGGCGTAATGGGAGGAGGGCTGCAGATTGCTTGCACCAGTCTTATAAAGCTCAACATCTGTCCTTGAAGACTAGTTTAGCAGTTAACATGGATTGCTTGTTGGCAGTTTAGTATGTTGTGGGAACCCAGTCACTGTGTTTGGAAATACTCTACTGGTGGAGTCAGAACAGAGTTGCAGGATCCTTGATTTCTGAGCAGGCTTTATCTGTGCATCTGAAATCATGTTCACCCATCTTGAATCTACTGTGCCAAAGTCTGTGTGTTTAACCCAAGGAAAGGTGAAATGCACATCCCCTATGGGAGTATTTGGATTCCTTTGGGTGGAATATCCAAAGCCTCCATCCCTAAGTCGGTCTACCCTGGGGATCAAAATATATGGCGTGGATCACGGGTTGCTCTTTTAGCAGGCTCCCAGATCAACTGTGTAACATGTTCTATCTCCTGTTACAGGGCAAATTGAAATGGCCAGAAGGCTAATCAATAAAGATTGACATATTGTTACAGGGCTGTCCTGATCGGGCAACTTATAGGCAAGCTCCCTGGTGGTGCATGTGTTTGCATGCAGGAAAATCACAGCTTCAGTTTACGTCATGCCCAGGGGGACGGGAAAACTTCTGCCCTACAGAGATGCTCCTGATGCTGTAAACAGTATTGACTAGGTGGACTTGTGTTCTTCACTCAAGGCAGCTTTGGAACTCCTCTAGAAATGTGACATTTATTGGAAGCATGACGAGTGGAATCTTACTTTTGTTTTCTGCTTTGCATATCAGAGGTCCTAGGCTCCGTTTCCATTTGAGAAAGATTCTGAAATGCTACTGCAGATCCAACAGAGGTAGATACTCTAATGGGTGGACTTAGGTCTGAAGTTTCAGATAAGGCTACCATGAAATCTGGAAGAGGGCTAAGTTCAGAAGAGGGCACTGGCTCCTCAAAGGTCTTCTTCACTCAACACAACTTAGGAGAGCCACAAACTCTGTCTTAGCTCCTTAACCCTAGTTCTGGCCACACAAGAACACAGAGAGCCACCACTCGGTTCCCCATGGCCTGCTGGTACCCCCGGAACCTTTGTATCAGAACTGTGCCTACAAAGCTTCATTATATCAGTAGATTTTCCTCATTGGCCAAATGTGCAGCAGGTATAACTTTGTTGTGGAACCAACCAGTATTTGAAAGGTGTGTTCTAGGCCCCTATTTTGCAATCAGTTTTGTATTGGAGAGATTTGCTTCTTCAACTGTTTTCTCTAATTTTTTCTTGGAAAAAAGTCTGGCCAGGATTTGCAAATTCCCCTGCAACTGGACAGGTTTGATGCTTGCACAACCCGGGGCAGACCCATGTAAAGAGGAGGAAGAGTTTTGATCACGGACTTGTGACCACCATCTTGACTTTTTTGGACACCAATGCACAAGGGAGAACTAAAACCAACCTGGGGCTGTTTGGGATGAACTCTAGTCTTCTCTAAACCCACGGTTGATTGGTTTATGGTAATAATGCAACACATATATTTCATCCTTAATCCAGTTAAAAGTGTTGTGTGAACCCAGTCAGTTGGTTGTATAAAACAGGGATTTCCAGCAGGTACATGGGGGAAACCCCCCTTTTTGGCTATAAGTGAAGTCTGGGAACCTTGCCCTACATGTTACATGATAAACACGCCAACATCCTGCCTTTCGGGGTCTCTTCTGCCCTGCTGTCCTCTTAGCAGTGCCTCTGCCCGTGAGCCCTCTGTGTTTATCTTGGCCAGGGAGTGAATACAAGAGGAGGATTCAAAGCCAAATTATCTGCATTAAGGAAAGGTCACTGCATATCCTCCTGTCGAGAACAACTGAATACAGTAGTTAAACTTTAGTGAAATACCAAAACAATTACATCACTCAGCTTCACGCAGCAGCTTTGGCAAAGCAACAACAACAAGAAGGAAACAGATCCTCCGCTTAATAAGCTACAAGCCACAAAAAAATACTGTAGCAAATATTCCTGATCTTTCCAAAATTCAACAATGTACGTACGATCTTGTAAAGATCTATCCCTTGATTCTTTGGAGAGCTGGCAGTAAAAAGGAAGAAGGAAGTGAACCCCAATTTTAGTCTCGGGGTAGGCATATATTCTGCGATCTCTAGAAGATGGGCCTTTTAATTTTCTCTGGAATGGTGAGAGTTTTCATGCTTTCCAACCCAAGAAATTATGTAAAGGCAGCGGGACTCTGCCCATCAGTAGGATAAACCTCCAGAACCTGAACAGGATGGAACTGAATTTGGTACACAGGAAAAGAAAGTCGGGAGTTCAGGAGGGGTCAGGTCTGGGTGGGGATGCGGAGGGGAAAAAGGTAGGAAAAATCCCCCCCGAGGGAGGGGCAGCAGCTCTGAATGCTTCGGCCCACTCCACGCGGACCTGGACACATGCGGACACACAGACACACCACAGCGGGAGAGCAGAAACAGGCATGTGGAGAGGCCAAATTACACAGGCATGATCGAGGTCTGCAGGGGGTCACAAAAGTCAAGATGGTGGCCACAGCCATGCACTTGAAGCCCCCCCCTTTTGACAGGCATCCTGACTTTTTTCGCCCCCCCCCTGCAGGCACCATCTGGCACCCTTCCTGATTAGACCTTCTTACACACACACATACACACGTGCAGACTGGCAACAGGCACCCACACCCTTTGCTTAGTTCCTGGGAAGAAAGTCCAAAAACACACAGACACACTCCAAAAATGCAAGACGTTCCTCGCTTGCGTAGAAGAAAATAAGCAATGCCTCCTACGCCCACAGCTGGTCAAAGGAGAGGGGGGAGGGATTCCAGATGTTGTACTTTTCAGGCTTCTTTCCCTAAATCATTTTTCCTACAGAACAGTGGGGGGCCATGGATCGAATGTACCCTCTAAGACCCTCTTTAATGGCATCCAGGCTCCCTTCTCCCCCCTTCTGTTACAACACCATTGCAATGACCTGAATGGAACCTGGTTTACTACAAACCCAGATCCAGACTCAGCTTTATTTATCAGAATACTTCTGAATCTTATGAGGCCACATGGGCATTCTTAGATAGGCTTACCATATCTCAGTGTTTCTCAATCCTGGCAACTTTAAGCTGCGTGGACTTCAACTCCCAGAATTCCCCAGCCAGCATGGCTGGCTGGGGAATTCTGGGAGTTGAAGTCCACACAGCTTAAGGTAGCCAAGGTTGAGAAACACTGCTTACATCTGAATGATCCACTTGATGGCTTCACTCAGGCTGAAATCTCTCTTTGCTGCCGTTGTGTGATTGTCAAAATGATTGCAGCCCCTATTTTAGACCATAGCCATCTTTACAATCAACGGCTGCAGCCTGGCCTTTGCTGGAAATTTGCCTGTCTTCTCAGAAAACAGTGAAAGGCACTCAAGGGGGGCTGAAGATGAAGAACAATATTCGCTGTGGTCTCTCTTTTCCCCCCACAAATCTTAGGGATGGTGAGGAAAAGAAAGTCCTATTTATTTCATACACCCCCAAGCAAAGGTGACTGACTACAGGAAAATTTATTTATTTATTTATTTATTTATTTATTTATTTATTTATTTATATTTCGAATTTAGACACTGCCCTTCCCACAAGGAAGTGAGTCTGGGCAGTTTACAATAAAACAGCAAATAAATATTAATTACAATACAATAAAAACAGTATAAAAACACAGTCAAACCAAACACGTACATCCAAAATCCTGGATGGATGGATAGATAGATGATGGACAGATCTTCCATGAACGTTTGTAGCAACCTTAGGCAGCCATTCCTAGGATTAAGCCTCACTTGGACTTACCTCTCCATTAACCCTGCACGATATTCGCACTATGAAACTGCCAACCCAAGTTGTTCGGCTTGTTTTAAGGCAACTTCAGCCCCGGAAGACAGAGCCGGGAATGAATACATGGATACCATTTTTTTAAACCTTTTAATTAAATGTAATTTAATTTAGATTTAATTAAAAGGAATCAGTAAAATGTTTCAAAAACCGAAGACATGACCCAACCCGCTTTGTGAGATAAGCCGGAAGCAGAGTCAACCCCCCGCCCCCCAACAGTGCCATTGGGTGTAAATAAAGCAAGAGGTGAACCAAGGGAGAAGCCCAGGGTGGCGAGGGACCTTTTTCAAGGCTTCTTGCCTGCCAGAGAAAGAGGAGACTCTGATACCAGCTGGGTTCATACAACTTGCTTGACCCGGCTACTGAATTCACTCATCTCCTGGACTCTGAACCATGGCCTAATTGAACAGCCCAAAACAACCAGTGCCAGAACTAGGTCCGGCGTCACCTCTTGGGCAGCTGCTCAATTTGTAGCTCAGCATCTCGTGTGAACGCAGCCTCCGCGGGTGGAGAACAGGGACCGGGAGTCAACCGGCAGGTGGCTGGGAAATGAAGGTGCTGGCCGGCATAATAACCTGCAGCTAATCCCCGTTCTGAAGAAAGCGGCCGCGAGGTGCACCTTCCTAGACTGCTGACATGATGTACACGTGCAACGTGATACGAGCCCTTGCTCTGGTTTCATGCAGGACCGAAGGCGGCCTCTCCAGGGGCTTTGCATCGGATGCCCCGACAACAGCAAGGAGCACAGCAAAGTGGGCGAGGCACCCAGTTCCCAAATCCGATCCCCCCCCTCCGCGGGATGCGGCGCTGACACGCATCAGCGCAACTCCCTTCTTGCCAGCCCGCCTGGCCGCCCAGGCAGCGCACGCGCAAGCGGCAACTGAAGGGGCGGGCTCTTCCCTTACCGGCTCCGCCCCCTGTGACGCCACCCCGAGCAAGCCGAGAGGGGGCGTGGTGAAGCGGCGGCTGCTTCTGCCATTGGGCAGTTCCGGCGCGGGGGGCGGGGCCGGAGTGGCGGGAAATTTGGAGCCGGAAGAGAGCCTTTTCTGCCCTACCTGGAGAAGGGGAGGCGAGCAAGGAGCAGCGCGCCGTTTCGCGCAAGGGCTGCGGGTAAGAGGTGTAGGGGAGCACTCGCAGGAGCGCGCACTCAGGCGGGGCGCGTGGGCACGCGGCGCTGGGCGAATTCGGGCCCCCTGGAGCCGGGATCCGCGGCCTTGCGAACGCCCCCACGGGGGGG